AGAACAATCTTGAATGTCAAAGATTTCACTTTATTAATAAGAAAAACGTAAAAGCGACATTTAATACAATGGGCCTAATCACCTATTTATACTAGTACGCTAATTAGAAGATAACTATCTAGTGAGACTATTTAGCTAATCTTCTATTAACAGATAATGTTTATCTAAACTATGGATAATCTTTAATATTAAGATAAACTTGAAGTGCAGCTGTCGACTTGTCATCTCCAGCTGTCTTCCATGGGATGATGAATCAACCTTATCTTCATATCTTCATCGTATGCCTCTGGTTGAATTGCTGAAGAAAACTCTAAGTGTTGTTGACCAGAGGGGTGATGAAGATGCTCTTTCCATCGCATCCCTGGTTGTTCATCGACCCTCTGGTTGTTCTCCAAACTTAGTCAATTCTGTCTTGATGTCTTCATCGGTGTTCTGGTTCTTCATCATTTATTGTTTTTCATTACTTTTACCCTTTATGAATTATGGGGTCTAACAGAAAATGAGTAGTGATGGAAGGAGTGATAAAATTATGCTTATGAAAATGTAAAAAGTTTTTAGTTAAAGTGACGCTACCATCGTCTTTTAATAAAAAAATTTAGTCCGAGAATAAAGTCTATATTGGTAAGGTTTAACACCCTAACGAAAGTATTTTTAGAAGGTAGAGTATATTCTTTGCTAAAACCACAATTGGTCTCGAAACTAACTTTACTATTAGGTCTCAACATTTAGTTATAAGAGAAAATTTCACCATTCATTTGTTGTGCATCAATTGGTGAGTCTGATTTAACAATATATTTAGAAGGAACCAATTATTTGTTTAAGATACAATTAGAACAACTAGAATCAACTAATGCAAGAGAGTTGATAACAAACTCATCAATTCGAATTCCGCATTTTACTTTTAATGACTTTAAATTATCTGAATTACAAACAACTTGCACATAGTCTTGTTGAATAATGTCTTTATTTTCGTCTACGAAGTCTTTTCCCTTTACTACTCTTTCAAAAAAAGTCTATTTTCTTTTGAAAAAGTTTTACCGTATCTTCAACATTTTATATTCTTTTTCTTAAAACTCTGTTTTCTTGTTTATCAAGGTCTCTGGCAACATTTATATAATTTGGTTCTATTTTTATTAAATCTTTCTTTTCTAGACATTTTATGCAGGCTTCTATATGCCAATTTAAGCATTTTTCTCTTAGTCTTTTATGTGGAAAAAGATTGCAAATAACACAAGGAATATTATTAGTTTCCGTATATTTTTGCCAATTATGATCACAAGTAACGTCTTCTAAATTAACAAGGTCTAAATAACGTTTACAATCTGGATTTAGGGTCTTTTCTATAATAGTATAAATGGCTGCAAAGCTATCATGTAATAAACCGACTCAAATATTTTTGTCATTGTCACAAAAAATGTTTTGACAAATACATCTGGTCTTCTAAATGAAAAAGTTCTTCATCATTTAAAACCATTTTTATTTCTTTAGGAAAAATAATTTTACAAGTCTTATTGCAAAGTAATTGAAGGTGTATGAAGGTAAATTCTTTTTTAAACAACCGTCTGAGATCATTTTTTGAAAAAAACGTCTAAAACTTTTGACATGAGGATAAACCAAAATTTTGTTTTCTAGTTTAAATTTTTTTATATTTTTTTATAAAATACAACAAAAACAAAGAAACACGTAAATTAATAAGATTAACAGATAAAGAGAAAATATTGATTAAACACACTAAGAGATGAAACAATAAAAACAACACAAGGAAAAAGATTTTTTGTTTTTTTTAAATGACGATTTTACCAACAAACAAACACAACAATAATTATGCAACAAATAACTTAAACCTAAACGTAACTAGGCGGAATAAAAAAATAATAAAAAACACGTAGGTAGACGAAAAGAAGAAACAATACGAAACTAAGAATAATAAGAACTTATTTAGACACAACAAAAAGATAATTGTAACGTAAATGCTTTGATACCAAAATGAAGGGGGGGGGGGGTAGACAGTTGTATGATGGCAGTTATAAAGGTGGTAATAATCGTAAATAGGATGACAATTATAAAGGAGATTGATGACACAAATGAACTTAGATCCTACTCGGTACTCTCCTTAAAGGGTGTTCCGGAACATAACGTTAGTAAAGTTGACAATTGGCGCCATCCGTGGGACACGAACAACACGTCTATATATCTAATTTTACATATATATATATGTATGTATCTAAATCAACACATCTATATCTATATATCTAATTTTACATATATATATATATATATATATGTATGTATCTAAATCTACACATCTATATATATGTATCTAAATCTACACATCTATATCT